CATAGCATTCCCTGCTGCCAGGATTCCGGAGGTCTATGGCAAGAGTGGGCCACTTCTCAGCTATTTAACTCAGCCCTTCTCCAGGAGCTTCTGGGGGTCAAGTACAAGTTCTGATGCTTAGCAGTCCTATGCAAAGTTGCCAAGTTCCTCCCTCTTTCAGCCAGGGGTCTGCCTCCTTCCTTTGACCACTCTCAATGCCTTCCTTCTGAAGATCTGCCTAGAGTGGTGTGCCAGTCTTCTTGATGGTCTGGTCTCTTGCTGGAAGACTCTTTCTGGTTGTATCTAGTCAGCCATCTTGACTCCCTCTCCCAGGTTGTTTTTCCTGGGGAAGTTTTTATAATGAGTTTACTACCATCAAAGACTGTAATAGGTGATGTGTGAAACTGAGCTTTTACTACAACTCAGTAATGTAGAAAACAAATTTCAATTTTCATTTTTAACATTATGAATATGTTTTCTTCAAAGATGCTTTGGGATAGAGAAGAAACTTGAGAGACAAATAAATAATAGTGGTATTGGCAGAATTGAAAGGTCAATTTTCACCAATAAAAGACAAGCTATAGTCCTGATTTGCTAGTAGAAAGTCAAATTTAGGTAAAACCACATACGTATTTGCTTGATTTTTCATTGAGAAGAAACATTAAATAAAATATATTACCCTCATCAGAACACTTGGTAATGCATAAGAAGCTATCCAAAAAACACAACAAACCTAATGGCAAGAACACTAGCACTGACTCACTGAAAGCATTTGGATAGAATCAGTGTGCATTGATTTCTGGCAGTCATGTGGTTGGTCGGTTTGTAAAGGAGACTAAGCTGCTGTGGAATTTCACTTCAGAAAGCAAGTTTTAACTAGTCCTGCAGACACATTACTGTTTCCCCTACATCTAGCAAGACACCTGTGTGTGGAATAAAGGGCTAAATATTACATTCCAAACCTAGTGGAGTACCCTAATGTGCCGAACGAAAAAGATGGATAGGAACCTACCCTGCGAGCTTAGAATTTAAATTGTGCTGAGAGAAAATTAGATTGTTCCAACTTTTTCTGAAAGCCAGCATCATGCACCTGGGTGCTTCCCCGCAGCTTGTCCTGGGCCTTCTGAGATCGGTGGAAAAGAACTGAAGGAAGCCCCAAACAGCCCAACAGGAGGGCATCATTCTGTAGCTCCACTCAATCAGGAAACTCTCTTGGTTCAAAGGGGTGTCTTTAGGTGATTGGGTTGCCTGTCTCCTCAAGATACAGCTGCAGCCTGGCTCTTCTTGGTGCAAGGCTGGTCATCTACAAGATGGCTAAGTTAATGTTTCATGCAAGGCTGGCATAGTCTTTCAGGTTGGCTACCTTCTCTATATTCCGAGGACACACAGGTCCAGATATCAAACTCACATAAAGGAAACGAGACTCGAAGAAATGGGTTCATGATAACTTATGTAATATTGATAGCCCCTGGACTAGCCACATGTATCAGTCAGATAATCAAAGTTTCTTCTCCCTAGAATGAAGTTATTTGGAAAATTTAACTCACAATCAGACTTCTGCTTACTGCTAACCTACTCAGGGCAAACACGTGAATATTTTTATCAAGATATAGTAATCTTTCAATTCTCCCTTTTCTCACTCAAAAGAGTATAAATAACAAACCAACCAGGATCCTCATGTCAGTGGGTCAAGTTATCTCCTCCTGTGCAATACTGAAGTCACAATAATATGTTTTACTCTATGTTCTTATACACAAGGGTCATATCCCATCTGCTTCTGCTTACTATTACAGCATCTTTCTTTTTCCATAATCTTATGCAGTTATTACCGACATCTAACTTTATAAATTGCTCTTAGATTGGTAGTATTTCAGGGTGACGACTTTCTGATAATGTGTAGAGCAACAGTCTATCATTTTCTATGGCTATAGCCAATTGTCACTAGGGAATGGTTTCCAAATTTGTAAAAATCCTTTTATTTAGCTTATCTTCTAATATTTGCCTATTTCTCGTTTTCCCTAATAGTTAATGTCCATCTCGTAATCTGTGGTGTCATATTTCAGGGGATTGGAGAGTTCTCTCTCTTTATGTGTGTGTGTGCATGGGCCAGTGTGACTGTATGTTACAGGAAACATCTCCTGAGAGGTATTAAAAATGTTTATAACTAATCAAACTTGATTTTAATTTAATAGGTAATTAAAAGGAACTTATTCTATTGTCCTGGAATTTGAACTGAGGCCTCCTGTATTAGGATTCTCCAATGAAATAGAACAAATAGCATGTATATATCTAAGCATGTTGCTTAGAGGTAGAGATAGAGATTAGTTATAAAGAATTGGCTCAGACAATGTGGGGAGCTGACAAATCTGAAATCTAGATTTCAAGCTTGTTGGAAATTCAGATAAGAGTTGTTGCTGCTCCAGTCTTGAGTCTGAATTCAGCAGTCCAAGAGGCTGAAAAATTAGGTAGGATTTCCATGTTATAGTCTTGAGAAGAATTCCTCTTGCTTCAGGAAATCGCTCTTCTTGCTCTTAAGGCCTTCAGCTAATTGAATAAGGCCCACCTTCATTATGGAGCATAATCTGCTTTAGTCAAAGCCTGTTGATTTAAATGTTAATCACGGCTAAAATATATCCCTTCACAGTAATATCTAGGCTGGAACTTGACCAAACAACGGGTCGTCATCACTTAGCCATGTTGTACATATAATTAACCATCACAGGCCCCAGAACACAACAGGTGACAAGTATTTACATATTCTAAAGAGAGGAAGCAGGGAAATCTCCAATCCGATCAGAAATGTATTATATCACTAAAACTTTAAATAGCCTTTATAAAACTCCGATATTGTTGGATATTTACATATTCCATATTCTCACATTTCAAATTTACAATTTAATTTTTTTTACGTACATAGTCACCATAGTCTTTCTCCAAAGTGTATATATATTTTCTGAATTCATTGCAGGTGTCATTGTGTGATATTTGCTGACAAAGGTACTGTGGGGCAAATTAATCAAAATGTAAACAGTACCTATTCTGAATAAGTGGCTCCATATTAAGCAGGATGGTGTTAATTCAGGGAGATCATATGTCCTGATGCCTCGATTCTCCCAATGACAAATCACTGGAAGTCAAGGAGTTTTAATCTCTTGAACCACAGGGATAAAAAACAGTATTGGGCAAAGCAGGTATGATTACCACAAAGCATGGCTTCCTTCTCCTTTTTCAGTTTATATATGTCAAAGTGCTCGGTTTAGGCAGCCATCATATTTTACTAGAAAAGTACTCATTCAAATTCTGGTAGCCTACAACTTTTTAATGCCTCATATTTTACTAAACTTGGTAGAAGTGCTTAAGACAAAATGAAGCAATCAAAACCAATGTGATATGCCTCATTACTTTTCTACAGAATTCTAGAATTGCATATTATCTGTTGTAACACATCTCTGCAATCCAGAATCTCACACAATTGCACACCACAAAGTGAGGCAGACACTTGAAGAAGACATCCCCACCTTTTCACTCCTTGCCTTAACTATGACAGTGTGCCTATTAGAGTGCATTTACAAGTGACAGAAATCTCAATGACTTAACCCAGACGTTTGACCAGCCTAGGAGTAGGCAGTATCGGTGTTGATTCACACTGAACCATGCCATCAGTAAACGTAGGCTCCTTCTGTACTTTGCTTCACCATCCTGGATATTTTGACTCCTTGTTCTTAGGTTTGTCTCTTCATGAGCATAAGATGGCTGCTGCAGAACTAGATGTTATGACTGCATCCAGAAGCAAAAAGCAAGAAGTATCCAGAGTGCTCTCCTTTCATAGCACTCTGTGTGTGTGCGTGCGTGTGTGTGTGTGTGTGTGTGTATTATTTAGAAAATGTTTCCCATAATCCCCAGATACCCAGATAGGCTTACATATCATTAATAAGAATTGGTAAAATGCTCATCATTAGAATGTCATTGGCAATTAGAACATCAACAGGGAAAAATAACATCCTCTAATGATGAAAAAGGAAACTACCTTCCTGAGAACATTGCTACCTGCCCAATACCTAAACAAATGTAGGTTCTGTCAAGAAAGAAGGATTGGGGAATGAGCATGCCATAGGCAATGGTGACTGCCACTAACACTTCACTGTCCATAAATTCTTTATGAAGCCCAGATAATCCATAACAACACAATTGCTCCTCCTCACTGTGAACATTCTCCCTGGGTCTCTGCTTTCACAGTTCAGTTCTTGGATTTTCTATTTCCATTTTTACCTGGAATAATGATCATTTTCAGATAATTCTCAAAATCAGTGCTTATGAATGATTATTGCCAAAATATAATTTTTTCAAGCCTCCCTCCACAGTATTTTGGCCATCCATGAAGTCCTTTTTGAAGCACATACAAAATATGCCAACTGGTGGCATATAAATATAAATAACAACTCTCAAATGAGAATAAGAAAAATATCAGAAGATTCAGTTATATTTATGATAGCATAAAACACTGGCAAGAGTAAAATAAAAAATTAAGGAAAAATGTCTGCAAGCTTTTCCATTTTTAAAACACAGTAATAGTCATTTGGCAATATAAATGTAAAATGAAACTTGGTTGTTTTCAAAGAATACAGTTTAAGAAACAGAGAAAATCCTGAACCATTAGGTATAATGCACTGTAAAATCTGATGTAATTGAAGTACCAATAAAATAATATGTGAACACAGACAAACGAATGGCTAAAAAAAACAGGAGTAACTGGTAAAAATCAGCAGACAAAAAAAAATTGTTTTGATTCATTTTAATGCCAGAGTAAGGCAGAGAAGAAAACGATGTAGGTGGCAAGATGTATCTTAAGATCAGCAAAGGAAATAAGGAAAGTGAATCTGGAATGTAGGATGGTTTTTCTTTAAAAAATATGGAAACAAATAGTTTATAACAAAAATGCTGAAATATTAAATTCATTAAGTATATTAAATTATATATTTATTCATTCAAAAATGTTTATTGCATGCCCACTCTGTGCTAACCTTGTGGTAGATCTTTATCTACGACAGCGGCAGGCAAGACAGACATGGCTCTCATGGAGATTGCAGTCCAGCAAGGGAGTCAGCTCCTACATAAGCAAAAATAATGAAGGATGATCCGCATTGTAAGAAGGCATATTGGTTAAGACACTTTTTAGTTGTAAGTTAAACACACACACAATTTGGCTTAAGCCAAAAAAAAAAAAAAAAAAAGCAAGGGGAAGGAAGGAATATAATGGCTCACATAACTGAAAAAATTTAGACATACATTTAATGCCAAGTGATGTTTGATAGAGAAGTTTAAATAATGTCACTTCAAACTTGCTTCTTTCACTCCATGGCTCTCCTTCTCTGAAATGGTGACATTATCCAACAAGCTCTCACCTCATGGAGATGAGATAGCTATAGTAGCTGTAGCCTCAGATCTTCAACATTTCAGGAACAGCACAAGAGAGCCACTTTTCCAATAGGTCCCTCAAGAGCTCTGAGATTCACTCTGATTGTATCTGCTTTGATCTCATTACTATATGCATTCTGAGCCAACAATCATAGTAATGTTATTGACTAATAGGCCAATATTTATAGCAATTGTCTCATGGACACAGATACCACATTATATCAGATCCAGCCAACACACCCACCATTACTTGTGTAAGCCTAGACGTAGACACCAATGCGTAATGCTGTTAGTTAGCATGTAAGCGCCTTACTTTGAGAATAACTTCCTGAACTCTTTCTTCTTTCCTATGTAGTAAGGACTCATCTTACCAGAAATATATTGACAATTACTGTCTTTTCTCCTTTTCATCACCTTTGCACTTCAAACCGCAAGAATCTAAATGAAGCATTCCACTATCTAAATGCTATAATCCAAGAATCGGGTCCTTCACCATAGCAGATGGTACTTAATATAAAGTATCACTTAATTAAAAGTTTGTTATATTTTATGGTATTAAACTTCTAGAACCTATGACGACCACATACTCTATAACTGGACAAGTGTAAAAGCCACCATGTAACCCAAAGACATGACATTTGTTTTTTTTAATATACACCTGAAAGAAAGGATTGGGAAGCCTAAAATGGGAGATTCTCTGGGACAAGAGAAACTTGGCAGTGCCCTGTCAAATTTAAGGGTCCCCAGTTTATATGATCAACCCAAATCCCAGACACAGTGAATGTCAAAAGAGGTCTACAGAAAAGAACTTAAAATTCCCCCTGGATCACAAATTTGGCCCAAAATTTATTTTACATTTGGGGAGAGGGAAGAAGGTAAGAAAAAGGGAAAAAATTTATACAAAAGGAAAAGGAAGAAATTCAAACACCTTGACACAAGGTGCTTAGTCCTCCAAGTTTATAAATATTAATGTACATCAGGTCACCAGGGAAACATTTAAAACGCAGATTTTTGAGCCCCACTCCCAGACATTCTGATTCTGTATGTTTGGAAGGAGGCTAAGATCATATCCTTTTAATGAGCACCTTAGATGATTCAGATGCTAGTGGTCCAAAAACCACACTCAAAAGAAAACTTCTTTAGGGCTAAATCGAAAACGGCCATATCTGATAAATCCAAAATTTTAAGAAGAACTGCAATGCATTGTAAGTGAAGAGGAGAGTGGACTTACCAGTTCCAGCCTTCATTCAAGAGTAAATGCTACCAACTAGTCCAGTTCTGTTTTATAAATACAAGCCTGCAGAGAACAGACAACATGGATGAAGACCAGTTCCCGGAGATGTACAAAGAGCAGAATTCATGAGTACAGAGACTCGTGAAAATAAACACTAACACGGTGGGGACATGAGGCATTTCTGAGGTGAAGACAGTGAGCAGGACTACGTTAGACAAAGAGCTTAAATGGAGGAAGATTACTTGAAGGTCAGGTACAGATGTTTTTGGAACACACAGCAGGTCAGCACTATCTGCTCTACCTGTAAGCATTTTAGCAAATGTTCCTAACAAATGTTGAGCTTTAGTTGATTTCCAAAATGACTTGAGGGGATTTGGGAATGTCTGTAGAAGCAGTGACTAGTAGGAAATTGTGGTCATCCACATCTCCCCATGCAGATCCAATGTCTGATTCATCGGGTTACATCATGTAATGTGACCAGAGAAAAGAGCGAAGTATAATAAGCAGTCAAACTACGGCTCATGCGAATACCTGTTCATTTTCTAATCTGCTGGTAATCCAAGTCTGCAGTGGCTTTATACTCTCCATTAATTTTTATACCCAGTCCATCTCCATAAAGTTTATTTCTGCTGGACCTGCAGAAATTTTCTGTACTATATATTTTCACAAAGCCCAAGAATCCATGGATAACAACTAAAAATCTAAAAGATTTTATCTCTGAAACTTATAACACGGCCTTACAAACATATTCAAAGACAGTTTAAACAATAATTTAGATACCCAGAAAAAAATATTTCATATTGTGATGAGATATATTGTGTGTATAAGCAGTAATGTATGCATATATTCAGCATATATATATATATATATATATATATATATACACACTTTTTAAAATCAATGTTAATTTTAGAAGCAGCAACAGAGGGCTAGAATCAATAGAGCATAGTCATTAAAAGCCGATTTTGAATTTAACTTAAATCTCAACGCTGCTACCACTTTTGAGATTTGGGGTAAGTTAAATCTCTCAGCATCAATATTCACAGCTCTAACATGGGCACAAAAACAGCTACCTTACAGGATTATTGAGAGAATTAACAGATATACTGTGTAAAGCACTTAGCACAGTGACTATAACACAGCAGGCAAGTATAATGGTGATGTTGAGGAAATAAATCTTAGAGAAATCAACTCAAATGGTTTCAGATTTTATTTTAAAATGTGTTAGGTGACCTAAAAGCATGCTGTACTTCTTGTGTGCCACCAAATAAGGAGGCCGGAATGGCAGAGAACAGGTTTTTGTTTTGTTTTTTTTTTACCAATTCTTAACTATAATCCATGGTGAAGATGTGGATTGTAAAACAGCTGCTATCTTCAGTGACGCTCAAAGCATCTAACATGTTTATACATCCCAGAGTACTGTTTTCATTAGGATAAAACAATTAAACACTAAAATTCATCCCTGAAAGGGCACCCTTGGAAGGAGGCTAATATCCTAGCCTTTTAATGAGCACCTTATTCAGATGCTAGTGGTCCAAAGATCACATTCAAAAGAAAACTTCTTTAGGGCTAAATCAAAAACTGCCATATCTAATAAACTCAAAATGTTAAGAACTGCAATGCATTGTAAGAGTAGGGGAGAGTAGACTTACCAGTTCCATCCTTCATTCAAGAGTAAATTCTACCAACTCGTCCAGTTCTGTCTTCTAAACACAAGCCTGCAGAGAACAGACAACACAGATCTAGAAACCCTGCATGTTTGAGAATGCTAATTGTTCTCCAAAAATTATTCTAGTCTTCCGTCATGTTGACAGAACACCTCATTTTATCTGGGCCTTCAGCTAGCCACAATAAAGACTCCTTTACGCCGGGCGCGGTGGCTCATGCCTGTAATCCCAGCACTTTGGGAGGCCGAGGCGGGTGGATCATGAGGTCAAGAGATCGAGACCACCCTGGTCAACATGGTGAAAGCCCGTCTCTACTAAGAATTACAAAAAATTAGCTGGGCACAGTGGCACGTGCCTGTAATCCCAGCTACTCAGGAGGCTGAGGCAGGAGAATTGCCTGAACCCAGGGGGCGGAGGTTGCAGTGAGCCGAGATCGCCCATTGCACTCTAGCCTGAGTTACAAGAGCGAAACTCCGTCTCAAAAAAAAAAGACTCCTTTACAAGTAGATTTGGCCAAGTGACCTGGTCCTTTGGGTCAATAAGATGCAAGAAGTTTCTTGAGGCACCTTTAGAAAACTTTTCTTAAAAGGTAACACCGAGAGAAATGCCTGATGTAGGTGGGGCGGGGGGGATGTGGCATGTATGTACTTATGCAACAGTCCTGCAGGATGCAGGATGTGCACATGTACCCCTGAGCCCAAGGTAGAATAAAAATAAATAAATAAATAAAGTAGGCCAAGCATGGCGGTTCACACCTATAATCCCAGGTGCAATTTGGGAGGCCAAGGCAGGTGGATCACTTGAGCCCAAGAATTTGAGACCAGTCTGGGCAACATGGTGAAATCCATCTCTACGAAAAATACAGAAACTCAGGTGGGAGCATCACCTGAGCCTGGGGAGGTCAAGACTGCAGTGAGCCATGATCACACCACTGCACTCCAGCCTGGGTGACACAGTGAAACCCCGAAAGAAAGAGAGAAAGAGAGAAAGAGAGAAGGAAGGAAGGAAGGGAGGGAGGGAGGGAGGGAGGGAGGGAGGGAGGAAGAAAATCTTTCCTTAAAAGGCAGTTGATACATGATCTTCCCTTTATTCTTTGCTTTTACCTGCTAGCTAGAATATAAATATGATGGCTAAAAAGAAAGCTGCTATTATGGGCCACGAGGTGACTTCAGAAATGGAGGACATCACAGAAAAACAGGAAGCTAGAAGAAATCTTAAGTCCTTGAAGCTTAGTGAAGCAAAGCCACCACAACAGGGCTGATCTACATACCTGCATTAGAGGGACCTTGCTTTCTAACGTTTTTAAGTTACTGTCATTTTGGTACTCATCATTGAAACAATTATGTCAAATGAAAACTTTGGTATTAATATAAAACTTTTTTTAGTATTTTACCACCTTTAGAATATGATCTAGTATTTACTATAGCCATATACTTTATTTATTCAAATATTTTTCAATAAATCATTTTTCTATATGTTTAATGATTCTCTTGATTCAGTGATTTGTATATTTTATTTATAAATTATATGCTTAAGATAGTTAACATCGCAGATTGAACAATTTGAAATATTTTATGCTCCACAATCACCAGATTTTAATATAAAAGCTGAGAAACATGAGCAATCATTTGTCTGGGACACATCATTCTGGGGATGCCTTCTGGTAGAAAGAGAGAAAAACTCATGACAAACTAATATTCTCTAAAGTTTATTCTGTACCTTCAACATATTATAAATTATTCTCCTCACTTTCCCTTTAATCAACATTGTGATTTTATTTCTGGATTTAATATAGAATGTGGAGGAATGTATTATTTATAGATCAAAAGAGATATTAATGAGAGAAACATTACATTATCCCATCAGCATTTTTTTTTTCTTCTCTCTCCTTGGCATGGGGCACACATGCTAGTCCGTTTTCACCGTTAGCCCAAGATCCATTCAGGAGACCCTCTCTCCTGGCCTTTCATCCTGTAGCTTGGTTCATTCATGTTGCAGCATTTCTCTGCAACTCCTTATACAATATTTAAATACTTTCAGTGTTCTTCAGTCAATACTTTTAGTGCTCTTCTCTGGCACTTTCACATATCTTTGTTCATCCAAAAAGTAATCTTTGTGATTTTCTAGACTTTGAGGATATCCACTTAAAACTTCTTCTTCCCAACTCGAAGTTGGGAAAAATAGCCGAATGTTTCGGTCTGTTTCTACAGAACAACACTTCTATCTCATTCAATACTTTTAGTTTTCTTCTCTGGCATGTTCAACATTAGGTTACATATTTCTTGAGTTTAACAGAATTTTCCAGTGGAAAATGAAGAAAGAAGGGAAACCCTAATATGAAAGAAACAAATTGTTCAGCCAAGTGACGCTTACTGTAGGAAAAACCAACTGATGCTGTAGGGAAGGAGATTTCTTTTCCTACAGATAATTACATACGCCTAAGGTGAAAGGAAACTCTGAAATGAGCACTCCACCCCTTCCTCTCAGTGTTTCTATGCTGATGGCAATGAAACGGTAAACTAAGTCATACATCTCTACTTCTCCTTCATTACCAGGACCAAAAATTGACTGGAGAATCGGAAATGGAGAGGTGAACAGGATAACACGTTTTCCTAGGGGCATATCCAACCACAATCGCTGACCTAGTTCCTCCACTTGCCAGCTCTATAACCTTGGATGTGACTTAATCTTTCTCTGCTTCAGTGTCCTCGTCACCAAAGCACCTCTGAATTGAGTTACTATGTGGACTAATGAGAGCATCTCTATAAAATGATTACCACAGTGTTGGGTGTATATCAAGCATGCAATAAACAGCTCTTCTTGCTTTTTGTCACTATGATTTTACCATCCTCTCACCAGGCCATGATGGCAGCCATGAATGACACTGATGGTGTCTTTGGATGCTTACTTATGAACATAAGGCTTTGTATGTAGTCTAGCTCTTAAAACTCTTTAAATGATTTGTATTAAAATATGCATACAATACACATTTTTGAGGCCTTCAAGCTTAGAATTTAAAACTTTAATATTGACCGTATTATATCTTAAAGGAAGTATCACACACCATCGATGTGTTTAGCACTGCTTGAGATATCTCGAAGAATGTAGCAGACATATGACGGAGCCTATCTTCCAGAACTCACCTTATGCTAATACATCCAATATATTTCCCAGCTTATAACATCAAATGCACTCTTAATTCAACATAAGATTAAAGGATAAATTGTATTTGAGGAATTTTAAATATTTTTCAGAGCAGAAAAGGATAAGAGAATTCAAGTTGTGGAGAAAGAGTCCATGGAATGTTTTGGTATTAAACTGAGCAGTAGAGAATTCTTGACTAGGTCTTGGTTGTTTCATCAGATCAAAAACTGTCCCTGAATATGAGCTAGGTTTCATTCTTCTGTTGCACATTTTTATTCATTGAAAACATTTCTGAGCACTTTGATGCATCAAGGGTTGTGAAAGGCATTGGGAATATAACAAGAAACTGAACACCTTTCTCTCATTGAAAAAGCCTTCAAGATCTCCTGTTCTTGATGTTAGTGTGAATTGCAGAACAATTCTTTCAAAGGCTTAGTCTGAAACAATTAGAAAAGTTGGAGAAAATACAGCATGTGTTTGTTTGAAAATAATAATTTGGGAATTCAAGATCCTGAAGAGAAGGGAAGTGTAGCTATAAGAAGAGCCAGGTCAAGAGGCCAAGAAGCAAAGCGGAAAACAGTGACCAAAACCCTAAGAACACGAGTTGAGTTGAGTTTTCAACAGCCTAATGAGCCTGAGGAGGAAAACACTGGCATTCGAGGGGGGTCCCGAAAAAGACAGCTCTGATAAACAACCCAGACCTCTGGAAGACTTTGAAAGGGCCAGACTGTAAGATTAAGAATAAAGCTCCTACAAATATCCAGTGTTGAACAAACTCAATCCTAGATTTGGTAAAGGTAATCTGCTCCTGCTCTAAGTGCCAGGCAGATTAACATTAAGTCCTCACTGGAGATAGAGGTAAACTCTACAAATTATCTCTACATTTTTTTCAGTCCCGGCATTTAATTTATACAATTATTAGGTATACCAGGAGGGAGAGAGTTAAATAGTCAGAAATCAAGAAAAAGTTTAAAAATATAATATGGGAACAGACTCCAAGTAATGTAGACTTTTAAGTTCTCACAGAAGGATATTAAAATAAATGTAATTAACATTTTAAAAAAATAGATGGCAAGATAAACTGACCAAACACTATGATCGTTTAAAAATTCTAAACCAAAAAAAGGCAAATATTAAAATTAAGAACTGTATTAAATATAATAGAATTTCCAGATTAAATAAGAGAAAAGAGTATTAGAACTGGAAAATAGGTCAATAGGTCAGTCTGAAGTATCCAAGCTAACTAAAAGAGAAGGAGAAAAAAGATGGAAAATAAAGAAAAGGTGATAAGAAATTTAAGAGACACGATTCAAAGATCTAACAGACAAGTTACTGAAACCCTAGGAGAGGAGCTGGTAGAGCACAATGAGTATCTTAGATGACTTTACTTGAGAATGTTCCAAAACAACAAAGGCATCAATCCACAAATTCAAAAAGCTTTATACAACCCAAGAAAGATAAATGCAAAACAACATACCCAGTTTTGCATCACAGTCAAAACGTCAAAAACCAGAGTCAAAAAGAAACTTGCTTAGCCAGAGGGGAAAAAATAGTAGCTCCAAAGAATAAGGAGACTTTCAACAGAAATAAGGGAAGCCAGCCGGGTGCGGCAGCTTACACTTGTAATCTCACCGCTTTGGGAGGCTGAGGCACGCAGATCACCTGAGGTCAGGAGTTCGAGACCAGCCTAGTCAACATGGTGAAGCCCCATCTCTACTAAAAAATACAAAAATTAGCTGGATGTGGTGGTGGGTGTAATCCCAACTATTCTGGACGCTGAGGCAGGAGAATAGCTTGAACCTGGGAGGCAGAGGTTGCAGTGACCTGGGATTGCACCTCTGTACTCCAACCTGGATGATAGAGAGAGACTCTGTCCCATCCTCCCCCAAATAAGAAAGCAAGAATGGAAGCCATGAGATGATAGAAAGATGTAACTGAGGTGCTGAAAAGAAACAGCTAACTTAGAGTTCTACGTCGCAATAAAATATTTCTCAGAAAGGAAAATAAAATAAAGATGTCTTCAGACAAACAAACATTAAGAAAACTCTGTCTCCAGGAGAACTGTATCAAAAGAGTATACTAAAGAGATTTCTTCCAGCAAAAGGAAAAATATCATAGATGAAAGCATGGAAATTGAGAGACAAATGACCAACAATAAAGAGGAAAAATATATGAGTAAATCTGAATGACCATTATTGTATAAAATAACTTCTTTGAATTTAAAAATATATATCATAAAACCATAAAAGGATAGAAACACACTGTTCTAACATGATCTAGAAAGTAATAACAATACTATTTTCTAGTAGATCTAATATGTCAAAAACATATGCATAATCTCTTAGCAACTAGGGTAGAAATTCTCTTGTATTTACTATTTTTTCTATTTTAATTAGATTTACTTTGCTAATTTTTTTCTGATTTGTTGAGATGAATATTTAGATCATTAATTTTATTCATTTCTAACACATGCAGTTACAGCTATATGTTTGACTCTTTAGCTGTTTCTCACAAGTTTCAATATGTCCTAGTTTTTCGTTTATTACTGTTTTATATTTCTTTTTGAGACTGGGTCTTACTCTGTCCTCCAGACTGGAGTAAAGCCACGTGATCTCAGCTCACTGCAGCCTCAATCTTTGCTCAAGTGATCCTCCCTGCTCAGCCTCCTGAGTAGTTGAGACTACAGGCATGTGCCACCATGCCTGGCTACATTTTTTTTATTTCTTATAGAGATGAGGTCTCACTATGAGGTCTCACAAGCAGTCCTCTGGTACCATCCTCTCGAAGTACTAGGGATTAGAGGCACAAGCCACCTTGCCCAGCTTAGTGTGTCCTAGTTTCACTATCCTTCACTCCAAAAATTTTCTAATTTCCATTTGACTTCTTATTTGATTCAGGTATTATATGTAAGAATATCTCTTAATCTCCTAAGAGTTAGGGATTATTTTTATTGTTTCTAGCTTAATTTCATTGCTTCCATAGAACAAACTTTGGGCTATTTCAATGGTTTAAAAATGTATTGACACTTATCTAGTGACCCACTGTATAGTCAATTTTGATAAATATTTCCGCACACTTGAAATACATACAGAAATCCCTGAAGAATCCACATATATATAAACTGTTAGAATAAACAAGTAGATTTAGCAAAGTTGTTAAATACAAATAATATATTTAAAAGTCAATTGTATTCCTCTATTGTATGTACAACAGACAATTCAAAAATGAAGTTTTTAAGTGGTGCCATCTATAAAAGCAAGAAAATAGTAGACCAAAAGATGAGTCATCAAAGTCCCTCTCAATGAAAGTTTTGTTGTTCCAGCTCCAAGGAGTGCTGTCAGCAGACAGCTTCCCGTCTCTCAGTCCCTTTGTGATTTTCCTCAATATCCAAGAGCCATCTTGCTCAAGAGCATGCCCTTCCTGAGGCAGTTTACATACAATAAACTGATCATTCTGGAAGGCAATGAAACTGCCTTTGCAAAAATTATAACAGTAAGAAAAATCTGACACAGGAAAATCACAACAGTGAAACAAATCTGACCTAATCAACTTCATCTTGCTTCTAACCTCCAAGTGGCCCTGGTTCATTCCTAGGCATAGGCCAAGCGAAATATAGGAAGAATTTATAGTTTAACTTTGAAACAAGGATGGTAACAGCCCCTTCCTAAAACAAATCCTGTCCTTGTTTGAGGACCAAAACTGCCTTTGTAAAACTAACAAATTGACCACAAGATTAGAAAGTATGGCTCAGGAGTCACGCAGCGAGAAACCACAAGATTTGTCACCTCCACAATTGCTCCTGTGGATAACATCACCATGGTGAAACCTAAGGTTGGTGTTCAAGACATTCTTAAGATTCTGCATTCTATTGGGCCAGCCAGTGCCTCCCAGACCAATAAACTGGCTCCACCAGTTCTGTGATCCCACCCAGGAACTGAAGACAGAAAGATGATCCCACTTTGACCCCCTATGATTTATCCCTGACCCAATCGGTCAGCATTCTCCATTCCGTAGGGCTCTCCCCATCACATTATCCTTTAAAGGCCCCAATCTCCAAAATCTGCAGAAACTGGTTTGAATAACAAACTGTGGTCTTCTTATCAGTTTATTAAACTTTTTTACTATTTTATTAAATTCTTTTACTATTGCAATTCCACTGTCTCAGTAAATCTGCTCTATCTGAACAGTCTCCAAAAACCTATCAGGTGATTACAGCAACTCTGATAAGAATTATTTGCTTAGAGGTTTCCCTGGGATTGACCAAGGCTTTGTGGTCAACCCCAGGGGACCACATTGTGACAGGCATAGAAATCTGGGTGTGAAAACAGCATGGAATTTAGGATCTCCGACGCCTCAGGATTAGCTATAAAGACAAGCTGAGACTGAAGGAAATCTGGAATAGAGAGTTGGGGTTGGAAGTGGAGGCAAAAGAGACAATGGTATGGTTTGGATGTGTGTTCCCTCCAAATCTCATGTTGAAGTGAAATTCCCAGTGCTGGAGGTAAGGCTTAGTGGGAGCTGTTTGGGTCATGGGGATGGATCCCTTGTGAAGGTCTTGGTGCTGTCCCTACAGTAATGAGTGAGTTCTAGGTCTGATAGTTCATATGAGATCCGGTTGTTTAAAAACACATGGCACCTCCCCCATCTCTTTCTCCTGCTCCAGTTCTCACCAGTTGATACACCTGTTCCCCCTTTGCCTTCTGCCACGGTTGTAAGCTTCCCGAACCCTCACCCAAAGCAGGTGCCAGTACCACAATCCTGTCTAACCTGCAGAACTGTGAGCCAATTAAACCTCTTTTTTTCATAAATTACCCATCCTCAGATATTTCTTTACAGCAATGCAAAAGTGGACTAACACAGACAATGAATACCAGTTCCAGCCTAACACCATCTGCACTGTTGCGGGATACAGTTCTTCCTCCTAACTTCCTCTTCTAAGTTCGGGTCCACCTGAGTCCTTAGGGAGCTGCTGCTTGAATTATATGAAGTGGATTCGAGCAGCACAAGAGGTCTTCTGTGATGGATATACCACAGGGGGTAGACTGCAGTGAACATAGAGATACCTCACGTAGATCACACTCCAAAGGCCTTATTGTCCTAGATGCTGGGAACCCCTTAAAGGTGTTTGCTGCAAAGAGCCACCTCACCTGAGTGTGTACTTTTCCAAGGCAGTCCATGCCCAATGACTGTTGCTTCAGGAGCATAAAGGTCTGACCATTTCAGCCTCTCAGGGCTCTTCTCTGAAGAGCTGTATTTGCCCTGGAGCATCTCACTGGATTGGCTGAGGCCTTCTCACATTTACATTGCAGTTCGACTTCTTCGTCTTCGCAGTCCTGCTTCCTTTTCCTTCCTTCCACAGGTGTTGACCCCTTACAAATAGCCTGTTCACCAAACCTTTTCTTAGCGGCTTCTGAAGGACCCTACCCATGATGATCATCCAAAAATACCAAAAGGCTGAGTGGGTGCCTCACTCCTCAACACTTTCTCAACACTTTGGGAGGCCAAGGCAGACGGATCACATGAGATCAGGAGTTCAAGACCAGCCTGGCCAACATGGTGAAAATCCGTCTCTACTAAAAATACAAAAATTACCCGGGTGTGATGGTGGGCACCTGTAATCCCAGCTACTCAGGAGGCTGAGGCAGGAGAATTGCTTAAACCCAGGAGGCAGAGGTTTTAGTGAGCTGAGATCATGCCACTGTACTCCAGCCTGGGCAACAGAGTGAGACCCTGTCTCAAAAAAAAAAGTCACCAAATAGCCCAGACCTCAAAAAGTACAGACTCTATAATTTCATTAATATAAACTTTAAAGGATGCATGGAGATTATTCAGGAAAAGGAGCAGCATTTAATGACCATGAGAGGCACAGAAAGAATCCTGGGGTGCTGATAAATGCCCCATTTCTTGACATGGGTAGTGGGAATACAAGGATGTTTACTCTGTGGACATTTATGGAGCAGTACAGATACAGTCTGGGTGCTTGACTTAAAAAAATAATCAGTTGCAGACCCAGTACAATACTAGACATATATCTGTTGATTCACTTTGTGGATTTCACTTGTCATGTCCACAGTGTGCATCGAAAGAATGGGAGATCTGGGCACAGAAATAGAATATAAAAACCAGTACATTCTTCTCTCACCTGTGGAAAGTCAGACGCTAATGTCTGTGTCAGAGTCATTACACCCTTGGCACAGCTGTGTGATGCCCATGTGCCACTTTGTAGACGAACTCAGGATCACTCTGTAGAAAAAAAAATTTGCTCTCTGAGGCTACAGACCCAAACACAAAACCCTGTTTCTAAGATAACATTCTGTACCATACCTTATGCTTTACTTTGGCAACTGAACTGGAATAGTCATTGCCTCTCTCATTTTTAAGTGGAAGGCTTCTCAGTGCTACATTTATGAGTTTCTCGTTTTTTTAAGTGGATAAAGCCGTCCAACACCACATCCCTAAATTCTTTCACTAGTACAAGTACTATCCACTGCAGACACGTTCTTCACAGAGAAAAACCTGTCCTCTCGATACTTTGGTCTGGCCAAAAAGACATCCCGCCAGGTTTATGGTGAAAGATCAGAGTTTTCTAACAACAGCGTGAGGAATATTTCCAATGCAGGGATGAGTGAATTCTGGCAGGAGTTGCAGGTTTGGCAAGACGTCGCACGGATCAGGCCAAAGCAAACACTGAGTGGAAAACTCCACTCAGACAGTAGAGTACCATGGGCAGGCCCTCTGCGGCCCAGCCCACATGTGCAACCTACTCTGGTTAGTAACGAAACAGCAACGCAACAGTACTGCACATACTGTACAGAGGATGTGCCTCAGCCAGGTGGAGGCAAGGATGACAAGATGGCTGGGACACCATCCCAGGACTAATCAGAAGAGTACACTTTGCATTTTTCCAGAAACTCGTAATGCCAGAGATATTTTAATCGTGGCTTTAAGGAAATATTTTAAGCATAAATGGCTTTTGTGACCCATATGTCTAAATATTTTCCCTTTTAGATGAGAAGACATCTTGTCTTCACATCTCTACAAAGTGGGGAAAAAATTAAAAAGAGAAAACTTAACTCACTAAATGCATCCTACCATATCCACCATCTATCCTTGCCCTTCTTCTTCTTCCACTGCAAATTCAGTAGTTAGAAACAGAGTTTCCATTCACCTTGCATAGTGACAAGTACCTGATTCTTAGCCAATTATTGAATATTTCTTTGTACAGTCTTTAAATCTTCTTTGGTTACTTTATTTCAAATGCCACTGTGTGGCATTTACTCATTATGTCTAAAACTGAGCGTGCCTGTACATGGGCAAATGCATAGCAAGATATTGTCCCGAAACAGACAGGAAATCACTTTACATATAGCATATTACAGTAGACTTCACGGAGCACCTGAACATGCCAAAAGATCTTAATTGTGGAAAGAAAGGTTAATTATTAAAATTCTGGGAACTTCAAAGATTTGGGAAGCTATATAAAAAGATTAGTCATGTCACATGTACTAACATTTCTATGTCTAACATTCAATTCAATTTACAAAAAGATGCATATTTTCTGACCAAAAAAAATTCTTGTTACTGAAACAACATATTCTTTCCAAATAAATGTATTGAGGTTCTATACAATACATTAAATAAAATAAAATCCTATCTGATCTATGTCTTATCATGCAAAGAATAAAGGAAAGCTGAACATTATCATAAGCTGTTAATTCTAACAAAAAGTCAGTTCCACCCTCTGCTGTGGTTCTTCATGCCATCCTGGGACTCCGCAACGCTCTGCTTTGCAAGTGTATTTTTCATTGCTGTCTCAGTAAAAATTCAGAACTATGACTCTTCTCACAAGTGGCAACCAAGGGCGAAAGACTTGAGTCTGGGTGAGTTCCCTTGCCAAAGCAGCTAAGATTTCCTCCGCACCCATTTTCTATTGTCAAAGAGTTTCAGCGGAAAAAGAGATTATTTTCTTCAACCCAGAAAATATTTTGAATGAAATTTTTATATCTTTTTCTTTTATAATAACACCCAAAAATGTTTACAGGCATTTGTAGTTTACGTAGTGCTGCCCCACAACCAGAAAAAGCAAATATTCTGAGCACTGTTTCGTATATGCAGAAATAAAAGCCAGAACCTGTTTCTAAGCCCCTGACCCTCAGCACAAAGCATTTTCTGCAACTGCTCTGAAGATGTGAGAGATGAGACTTCTTAGAATTTCCTTCTACTGGGTAATATGCAAAAAGAAAACACATGATATAAAAGGAAGAGAGACTAATGGAGCCTCAAAAAATGCTTAGCAATTCTGACTAGGTCTCTAACAGAAGATTTTTGATAGAGGATGGAGAACTGAGATCGAAAGTAATAATTTCAACCTCTAAGGAATTCACTAAAAAATGAGGACCACTTTAGATTAGAATGACTGACACTATTGCAGAAGTCCTAACAGGTGCTATTAAAAAAAAGAGAGAGAGAGAAGAAAAAAGACTCTGGGCTTAGAACACCATGGTTTCAGCCATAGCAGGATAGCTGTGGGTGAAAGCTACTTGTAACTGGTAATTAATATCTCCACCATTGTCAAGTAAAAAACAGAGTTTAATAGAAGTTGATCGTAATGGTAAAATTCCCAAAAGACATGACAACTTTAAAAAGGCTTGTAAGGAAAATTACAGTAATATCAGGCGAAAGGAAAACTCACAATCTGGAAGTTGACTGGAACTGAAAAGAAAACCACTAACCACCTTTAACTGATCATGTCTTGTCACTATGCCAGCTGTGTCAGTTGAAGTTACTGGTGGATATCCTGTCCCACTAAATATGAATGAGACTTCCGCACACAATTCCACAGCTGTGGCAGTGTTAAGCCTTCCCATGATCTCCTTCTGCCTCATCCTCTGCTTCCCCGTAGACTGTCTGTCTCAGTATTTGATGGTGGCAACGAAATTGTGAAAGCATACCTTTCACTGATTTCAAAAACTTAAAACAAACATTAACTCATTAAAAAAAATTATGCTCACACTAACCTTTACGAGCAATGGAGACTGTATTCAAGATTCCAGAAGAGAAGGATGTGGCATAGTTCAAATTTTAAATTCTATCTTTCAGACACCCCCTTTCTCAAAATGGCCCTGACAAACGTGGGATTTGGAAGTTCTTTCTTTACCCCTTCTCCAGCTTGCACCTCGTCTGGTCTCCCAACCTCACGCCTTTCTAACTGCTCTTACTTTCGACGGACCTTTTTTCTTCTTCTTCTTCTCTTCCCCCTCCACTTAGGAAATGAAAATTTTTTCTACTCTATGACTTAATTATTTGATGATTGTTTTACATTGTTGAAATGTTCACAAGGTCTCACCATCCAGTCCATGAGATTTCCCAAGCATTTTTCTCCAACAATAGCTCTTAACAATAGCAAAGGGAACCGAAAATGGGGCAGAGTCATAAATGACCAAATGACCCTGTTTGGCCATCAATTTCCAACAAAACGTACATTTGAAAATTGATTTAGATAATGTATGATTTGTATTTTGCATCTAGTATTCATAGTTGTTTTAGAAGCAAATTGCTTGGACATATCTCGATCACAACCATTTGAAGGACCAGCAACCAAGTTTCCTCGTGCAGAGTCTTGAGCCGTAGTGAGGAATACAGCATCTGAAGCATGGCAGCTGAGATGCAAATTCTGACTCTCCAGAATTCTTTTTTTTTTTTAAACAGAGTCTCACTCTGTCACCAGGCATCAGGCTGTAGTGCAGTGGCGCGATCTCAGCTCACTGCAACCTCTGCCTCCCAGGTTCAAGCAATTCTCCTGCCTCTCAAGTAGCTGGAACTACAGGTGCGCACCACCACGCCCAGCTAATTTTTTGTATTTTTTAGCAGAGAAGGGGTTTCACCATGTTGGCCTGGATGGTCTCGATCTCTTGACCTCGTCATCTGCCTGTCTCGGTTTCCCAAAGTGCTGGGATTACAGGCGTGAACCACCACGCCTGGCTGACTCTCCGGAATTCTTAGGAAAGTTACTCAACTTCTCTGACCTCAGTTACCACGTATGCAAAATGGAATGATAATAATAGTTTCTACCTCACAGGATTATCAAATGGATAAAAATTAGTTAATACACGTGAAGTCCATAGAACATTGCCTGGCCCATAGTAAGGATTGAATAAATGTTGGCTGATACTAGAATTGTCTTAACTCACTCCAGAAGGCAGTGGTGTCTTTCTGTCTTACTTCTCCTATTAAGCACCTACTAGTTTTACTACTTGTCAATTATTAATTTGCTACTTGGAAATAACTTACACATCTATACTATAATAGACTAGATCTTACGTGCATTGCTCTATTCAATAGTATATATACAACTACCTGTTCTAGATTATAATCCTCTTAAATACATTGAGTTCATTTTAACATTTTTGTATCTGCCATAGTGCTCAACACAGCACTTTGCCCAAAACAGGGATCTAATTAATATTTATTAGTGTACGATATAATAATGCCAATTCTGTTTTGATATATTTCTAACCTGGATTATGGTCTTATCTGAAATCACCTCAAATGATATTAACCAAATAGTACCTGCCTTTTACTCCCTCTTTATTTCTGGAGACATTCTAATTTCTATTTCCATGGGCTTTTCACTGTCCCTGCTGAAATTTCAGCCCTCCTCCCCTACAACATTAAAGAAAGAAAGAATCTAATAAACATTAGATTCATGAAGATGCATCTATACCAATGGTAGAGAACGTGTGTCTGTATTTTTGTTTCCTAGGAATTTTGTTAGCCAGCATACTTTCAATACAACATATGGAAACAATTGAGAATAACTACTTTTTGATTCCATTTTGAAATCTCCTGGAAAATGTGGACATACTTTAGGATGAGATTTTTCTCTTGTGATTTTTATTTTCCTTGAAAATTACTTTATTTGTAGTAGCCGGGGTTGGGGTAGAATTAATTTTTAATGGCCATTTTAGCTATTTTTTCTGGCAATTAGAAAGTCAAGGATTAACAAAATTACTTTCTAAATGAATTATGTTGTGTTACCTCTTCATTACACTACTTATATCTCTTATTCTTATCCTCACCTACACACATGCTCGACCTTAAAATGAATTCTCAGACTCACAGATCAATTTCATGAATTAAAGGAAGTCGGCCAAAGGGGAGAAGAAGAGGCCATTTCAAGTCTTTGATTCATTTTGGTCCACAGAATCTGAGGTCTGGGTTGCCTCCAAACACCTGCACCTAACTAGGAGAGCAAAAATATGTTTTGTGACTCTATCCAACCACTTCTTAACAAAATGAATATTGTCATTTCCACAGGATAGTTTTCATGGAAATGTATGTGGTTAAGCAATGGTAAATTCATAAAGTCCAATTATTCACATATCATGCCTCTCTACTCATGAATATAAATATATATCAGATTATGGAGATACATATACAATCTGTCTTCTACAATAGTAGTAAACACCCAAGAGCGTTTTGGGTAACACTGAAAAGAAGTAACAACAAAAGTTGCACAATCTATGGTCTAGGGCAGACTAAGCCAGGGCCCATCACCAGGCCGCCATCCATCAACCTCCACTCTTACACCTATATCCAAGATAACCATTTGCAGCAAGTGATATACATAGGAGCTTGTATTTTGCAAGTAGAATAAGCAAAGGGAATTTGTGACTGGAGTCTTATACTACGAAAAAAGACAAATGGTAGGGATGCTATCACATCTGTTCCAAACAGAACTACTGTTCTATGTTTCAGCCCAAATAATTAGTGGGATGAGGTCAAAAATTATTAAACTCTTCTGCCTGAAAGATTCTGTAAGATATTAGGCCCAAGAAGAGGTTTTCTGGGACTTTAATTTTATTTTAAGTTGAGGGATAGAACTGGGGAAAGGCCATTCTTCCTCCTTCTGCCTGAAATCCTACAACATTTTGGCAACTCAAGGGCTATAACTTGATGCAAAATATTTTGGGGGGAGATGTTTTTCTTAAAGTAGTAAACCATGATGTGCAGTGACAATAATGAACCTTCTCGGGTAACAATCTATACACTTGAGAGCTAAAACATAAGAAGAAAATGTCTGGGCAACAAAGGACAACTAATCTAGAGTGTGGACATTTTGAGACATCATCCTGGAAATATGTGGAAGTAACTGGGAGGTATTGCAATCCTTCTATTAGGCAGATAGAGGCTAACAAGTCAGCAGATATGTGGGTTAAATCATAATGGGATTTTCTAAAGCTCATAAATGAAAATATCCTTTTCCCTCCTAACTTCAGAAATGTTTGCAAGATTGAAGCAGGGTTTAGGCAGAAGGAAAACAAAAAGCTTTTATTACTATTGGATTCAGTGTTCAGTCATGTGGCTTAGGTGTTCAGCAACCATGAGCTTTCTAATACTGGATCCTCAAATTAAACAGTTACCATCCAGTCACAGGCAGTAGTGAAGGCTGTAGATCTCTCCACTGGAAAGGAAGGAAGGACAGAGATGAGTGTGTTCTCTCTGCAGGCAGATCCTGAGGAGACAAAAAAAAAAAATTAGGCTACATATGCAAAATTCCTCTTTCCAAACTCAGGAGTCATCTTGGGAGCACTGAAGGAGAGAGTTGGATAAGCAATTAAGAGTTTTATTCATATGGAATTCCTTCCACATGGAAAGACAAAGTCTATGGATAGGAGCTTTCTCCACTGCCAGCAATGTGCAAAGAGCCTGGCACAGGGCCTATCATGTAGCAGACTACAAAACAAACTACCATCCTGCAGGCAGTTGCTTGCTAACAAAAGGATACCAAGATATATTTGTCTTCCTTACTCCCAAAACATAGTATATATACTGGACCTATGCTGAATTCTACTATTCTTCCTTTCTCAAAGGGCTAGAAGAAATATGCTCTTAAAAATAACAATTGGTAGTAAACAGGCAATTTAGCAACTCTACAATTACAAAGATGATGTGAAAAACATTTCTTTTTTCTTTTTTTCTTTTTTTTTTTTTTTGAGATGGAGTCTTGTTCTGTCACCAGGCTGGAGTGCAGTGGCATGATCTTGGCTCACTGCAACCTCCGCCTCCAGGGTTCAAGTGATTTTTCTGCCTCAGACTCCTGAATAGCTAGGACTACAGGAGCACACCACCATGCCTGGCTAGTTTTTGTATTTTTTAGTAGAGACAGGGTTTGACCATGTTGGGCAGATGGTCTCAATCTCTTGACCTTGTGATGTGCCCACCTCGGCATCCCAAAGTGCTGGAATTATAGATGGGAGCTACCGCGCCCAGCCTGTGAAAAACAATTCTACCTGCTAATTAGATGACCCATGGAGGTAAGGAAAAAGGAGCAATAGAGACTATATTTAGATTCAATGTAACGTTTATCAAGTGCCCACTGTGTCAAGCACTAAGCTAACACTTTCACAAATGGCTGCATTTTTCACAGTTAAATACTCAACCACATCACAAGAAGAAAAATTGAGACGCGAGAGTGTTAAGTAACTTATTCAAGGAGTCATAAAAAAGAAGAGACAGAATAATATTTTGAACTAACTATGACCCATATTCATTTCATTACACTATATTGCACACAACATCAGTGCACAGATATAAAGACAATTAGAGTTTTTTAAAAAGGTATTTTGTGGGAAAAGTTAAAAACAAACTTGTACTACTTTGAATCCTACTATGAGGTAAGTTAAAATTATCTACTTAATATTACACGAGTTCTTCTAAAATCAGTTTTAAATGATTTTTAAATCTTCAATGCATATTTTAAAAAAAATTTAAAAGACCAACAGCTATATGACCAATATATCAATAAATAGTCTTTATTTCCCTTTAGGTTTTTCTGTATATGTTCTTCCTCAAACCCCAAACTTAGATAGTTACCAAAAGTAGAGAAATTTTCCTTTACATTGCTCAGATACAGGATAGCCCAGCAATAATCACTCCCTTGTAGGCATTTCACAAGAGACATTTTAAACACAAGTGGAGATAATCTATGAATGCAAACCTACATAAAATGTGAAGTAGAAGAAAGCAGAGACCGTGTTTTGTGAAGTGATGGCTCAGGGGAGCAGTACAGAGTGTCCTGAAGGAATATCAGGAGCCTTTCGGCTTCACCCGCTTTGACTGTTCCCAGAGGCTCCCTTGGCTGTTCTGCACATTTCCTCTTAGACTAATTTTCCACCACAACACTCCCCAGAGCGATTAGAAGCAAATAACAATGCCAAGCAAGTCCAAGTATGCCTCGGATCCTCTCAAACGGTTGGCACTTCCTGCTGCTTTCATTGGCAACTGCATAACATAGCTTACTAGAGAGATTTTAATTTGAGTTCAGCTAATGCAATAATTTGAAATTTTTATTGATTCATTTTCAGAATGATTTCTAGTTTCCTATTTGGAAAGAGCAAGTTACACTTTGGGTTAAGAGACACAGGTTTTACATAGTGCTAGCCTTAAACATAAATGGAATAAGTGGGAATCTGAAGAGTATTATTTGAGAGCTATTCACAGAAGTCTAAATTGTCTAAATTTTTTTGCCCTTCTTAATTGTCTTGACATTTCTCACCTTTTTTATCCACTTTGCTTGATATACAAATATTCATTCCTAGAGTCTCTCATCTGAGTTTTAAAAATAAAACAAATTATCTCTGAAAGGCCACTAAAACACATGTTTTATAAAAGAAATAAATGGAGAAATATTATATGCAAGGAGATTCTATATTGCATTGAGAGATCGGGGCAAATTTCTTTATGAGGCTGAAAATTTTTCATCTTTAGAACAGAGATTGAGGGCAACATATGCAGCGTGCACTAAATTAGAGAAAACATGCCAAGCCTATTATTTTGTAAGTTATTGTAGGTATGCCATGCCTCTTGTTCCGAAGACTTGTGAGTATATTAAACTTTGTGGGTTTTTTTGAGTTGGTCCTATGTCCCCTCTTGTGGAAACATCTTACTGATAATCACATAGAAGAAACAGGAGGACTATGGACACAGCCAGGAACAACTTGAAAAATTCCTAATTTCCTACTTAGGTTGACCATGAGTCTCTGTACAAGCAAAATTAAAGCTAAACGGAGTTGTAAACTACCAGGACAGGGAAGGCATGTCAATTTTTACACAGAGTCACTCAACAAAGGTTGGGTGACAAATTGGGTAAGGTAATAAGAACACTGCTGTCCAAGCTTTGGCTTAACACACAAACTTAACAAAGTAGAGACATCAGTGGTCACACAAGAGAAAGAATAGAGACTTTACAAAATCAGCTCAGGAAAGTCACTAAACAAACAAAACCAAAGGAACAACTACAAGAAAAAAACAGCAATAAAAACAAACCTTAGGCCAGGTATGGTGGCTCAGGCCTATAATCCCAGCACTTTGGGAGGCCAAGGCCAATCACATGGTCAAGAGATCAAGACCATCCTGGTCAACATGGTGAAACCCCGTCTCTACTAAAAATACAAAAATTAGCTGGGCATGGTGGTGCACAGCTGTAGTCCCAGCAACTCAGGAGGCTGTGAGGCAGGAATTGCTTGAACCCAGGAGGCAGCAGTTACGGTGAGCTGAGATCGCACCATTGCACTGCAGCCTGGGTAACAAAAGCAAAACACCACCTCAAAAAAAAAAAAAACCTGGGAGAGGAGATATGAGTTCCAGAGTTGCCTCATAAACATTCAGTTTTCAACAACAACAACAAAAATACGAGACATGCAAAAGACAGAAAAGTACAAGTCATATGCAGGGAAAACAAAGTCCCTTAAGAAGCCCATGCTGTAGACTTACTAGACAAAGATTTTTAATTCCCTATGATAAAGAAATAATAAAAACCATGTCTAAAGAACTAAATGAAAGCATAAGAATAATATTTTACCAAATAGAGAATATAAATTAAAAGGTATAAATTATTTTTAAATTAGCCAAATAGAAATTCTGGAGTTGAAAAGAATAATAATTTATAAATTCACTAGAGGGGCTCCACAGCAGATTTGAACTGGCAGAAGAAATAATCAGTGAACTTAAAGATGGGCAAATTGATCTTATCCTGTGTGAGTAGCCTGAAAAAAAAAGAAGCATGAAAAGACCCCAGAGACCAGTCATACACCGTCAGACATAGCAACAAACACGTAATAAGAGTCTCATGGAGAAAAAAAGGAAAACTGACAGAAAGAATCTGTGAGGGAAACAATAACTGAAAACATCCCAAATTTGATAACAAACATCATCCTGTATGTATAAATAGCTCAACAAACTCCAAGTAGGATAAACTGAAAGAGATTACCTAGATGCAAAATAACCAAACTGTCAAAAGACAGACAGAGAACTTTCAAAGCAGTAAGAAAGGTGATTCAATATTTAACAATGATCATCAATGCGATTTATAGCCAAATGTTTATCAGAAGCAATGGAGGCCAGATAACAATGGAATTGCACATTCAAAGTGATGAAAGAAAAAGACAGCTAATCCAGAGTGCAACAGCCAGCAAAACAACCCTTCAAAAACAAAGATGAAATTAAGACATTCCCAGGTAAACAAAACACTGAGAGAGCTTGCAGCCCTATAAGAAACAATAAGGAAATCCAGCAGGCTGAAATGAAAGGACACTAGACAGAAACTTGAATCTATACAAAGAAATAAAAAACATCAGTAATGTTAACTATGTAGGTAAACATAAAATACGATATAGATATATTTTTCATTTGTAACTATTTTCTTTTTCTGAGTAATTTTTAAAAATTGCATAAAGCAATATTTATAAAACTGTGTGAGTGGACTTGTAATGTTTAAAGATGTATTTTATGACAACAATAGCACACTTGGGAAGGACATGGAGCTCTATACAGAAACAAAGTTTTTTGTTTGTTTGTTTTGTTTTGTTTTTGTTTTCTTTTGTTTTGTTTTTGAGATGGAATCTTGCTCTGTCACCAGGCTGGAGTGCAGTGCTGTGTTCTCAACTCACTGCCAACTCCGCCTCCTGGGTTCAAGCAATTCTCCTGAGTAGCTGGGACTACAAGTGTATGCCACCATGCCCTGCTAACTTTTGTATTTTTAGTAGAGATGGGGTATCACCATGTTGGCCAGGATGGTCTCAATCTCCTTAGCTTGTGATCTGCCCACCTCAGCTTCCCAAAGGTCTGGGATTACAGGTACAAACCACGGTCAGGAACAAAGTTTTGTATACTATTAAAACTATTTGGTGTTATTTTTGAACTAAATTGATATATATAAGATTGTCACCTTTAGGAAAATTTCCTAAAAATAACTATTTCTAGATCTAAAAGATATCTGTAAGGCACTCCACAAGAACATCCAAACACACATTTTGTTCAAGGGCACATAGAACACGATCCAGGATATGCCTATTTTTGGGCTACAGAACAGCTTTAATAAATTTAAAATGATTCAAAAAATTCATTTTAAATAATTTAAATTACTCAACATATGTTCTCCAACCACAATGGAATTAAATTATAAATCAATAATATAAATTTGAAAAATTCACAAACATGTGAAAATTAAACAATACACTGTTAAATAAACAATGGGTTAAAGAAGAAATTACCAGGGAATAAATCACAAAGAGGAAATAAAAAATCTGGTCTGAAATTAGAAAACACTTTTTAAGATAAATGAAAATAAAACATACCAAATCTATGGAATGCAAATTATAACTTTAAGATTATGTTATTTTTAAAGTAAACATCTAATTATGAAAAACAACTTTTCTCCTTAAGAAAGTAGAAACAGAAGGACAAACTAAACCTAGGAAGGAAATAATTAGATAACAGTAGAAATAAATTAAATAGAGAACAGAAAATAATAGAGAAAATCAGAGAAACCAAGAACAGGTTGTGCATAACCTTTTCTAATTAGATGATTCCAGTAGTAGGAATGACCACCCAGAGCATGAGCAAAACGTTAGTAATACCACCCGGCAACCTCTCCGAGGATTAGCAAGAGTGAGAGTACAGGAGGAGAAGGCCACTAACCTTGTAACCTAAATAGCCTCAGTGGTGAATCCTGCACCCTCTCCTACAGATGTTTTAGTTTTAACAAGAGGAGTTTACATTTAGGAAGACATTTTGCTCCTGCAGTGTCAGAGTCCAGTTGCAGAAATGCATCAAGTCTAGATTAATAAGGTTAGCTACTTGAGGTACCAGAAAAGTCTACGGATAGGGAAACATCTACCTGTGGCACAGCAATCAGAGCATTACTTAATTTTCTGGCATGAAGGGTTAAAAATCAAAATAGTCAAAAACAACAACAGGTACAATTAGTGGCTAAAGAACATGTAATAGACAAAGAGGTAAATTATAACAACAAAATAAAAATTATGGGCAGAGGGGAAAAGTCTAGAGTATTTTTATGCAATCAAAATTAGGTTGCTATCAGCTTACAATAGTCTATTATAACTACAGAACTCGTAATCCTAGCTGCATGGTAACCATAAGGAAGAAATTATAGCAGATATACAAATAAGAAAAAGAAAGAAAACAAAGTTTAGCACCAAAGAAAGCCACCAAACCACAGAAGTAAACAATAAGGCAGGAAGAAAAAAAGCAAAGACCCAGCTACTCAGGAGGCTGAGGCAGGAGAATTGCCTGAACCCAGGAGGCAGAGGTTGCAGTGAGCGGAGATCACGCCATTGTACTCCAGCCTGGGTAACGAGTGAAACTCAGTCTCAATAAAAAAAGAAAGAAAGAAAGAAAAAGGTAAAAAAAACCAAAGGCTCTGCAAATAAGCCAGAAATAGTTAACAAAATGACAGGAGGAAGTCTTTACCTATCAATAATAACCTTGAATGTAAACTGATTAAATTCTTCAACTAAAAGACATATAGTAGCCAAATAGAACTTTTTCAAGACCCAAATGTGTGCTGCCAAGAGACTCATCATGCTGCCAAAAACAAACAGAATAAAAGTGAAGCAATGGAAAAAGACATCTCATGCAAACAGAAACCAGATACAATAGACATTGGGTTAAAAATTGTGAAAAAGAGACAAAGAAAGTCATATGATAATAAAGTAAACAATTTCACAAGAAAACATAACAATTGTAAATATACATGCACCAAACACCAGAGCACCCAAATAAATAAAACAAACATTATTGGATCTAAGGATGTAGATAGCCTGCAATACAATGAAAGTAGAGGGCTCCAAAACCCCACTTTCAACAATGGCCAAATCATCTAGACC